GGATTCGAACCCGCGACCCTCAGATTGCGAGTCGAGCGCCCTAATCACCTGGTTATGCCGGGCCCTCTTAAACTGATAAGACTAGAAAGAAGGTAACCAGTCAACAGCACCCATTACCAACGCCTGAACTGCTCGTGTCTGACGGAAAAATGGAATTTAACCGTAGCAAATGGTTCCAAAGTAGGAAGAATATTTTTGCGACTACATGACACGAACCATTAGATTCACAAATCCGCACATTTCAAGACAACGATCGGATCATTTATTATTTGACATAAATTCACCTAACGTAAACGTATGTTTTAACAAATAATTTCTCTGTTATAAGAAAATATGATTCTAAAGTATGTATGTGAAAATGAAAATTAACAAGATGTACTGATTAATAAAGAATAAATTTTGTGTAACCTCTACGTGTTTTACCTTGATATCTTATTCAGATTCTTCAGGAAAAACGCTGAAATTCACTATTTCTTCATCCTGAAAGGGATTTATTTCTCAGTCGTCATTATCTTTATTTAAAGATTTAATTGGTGTATCCAAGTTTATCCAGAAATAACCCTGTATAATTGATGAGGTAACTTGCACGTAACTATTATGAAACCCAAACTACAAGAAATTTTCTCTATTAATAATCATCCTTTTAGACTAATGCAGTATTTTTTTTTAATATTTAATACAAAGTGTCAGAGACAAAGTTGCAAAAACAAAAACACTAACAAGCCCATGGAATCTATAAACATTTTATTCAATTTATAATTTGCAGAATTTAGTCTCTGTGGGCGATAAATATGGCTCCATAAAAAGGGGAAAAGAAAAACTTCACATTTCAAGACCGTCAAAAGTAAGGAAAGGTCCATACGATTATATACAAATATTTTTTTTTTTTCCATTTAATGAATTAGAAAGAACAGGCAACATTTCAATACTGATATCCCCAAGATGCAATGTCTTTGTAATATTGAAGATAAAATAGCTCCACCTAATCTATGGTGCATTTTGTACTAAGAATGGCAATAACAACATCCTTTCAAATACATATTCGTAAGCTATAACAAGCAAATTTTTTAAGGTAAAAGTATCCAAAGTATAAAAAAAAAAATACCAGTGTATTAAAACTACTTCAATATGACTTAGAGAAATCTCAGAGACAAAATACAAAATTGTGAAAATATTTAATCTACATATTTGGTAATTTTGTCTGATTATTCAAACTGATACAATGCAATTGAACTTATAAACTATCACTGTCCCTTGTTGTTGTTTTTTCTGTATATAAAGAACGAAATAATGTGTCATTGTAACCTAAAATACTTCTTATACATACATTATGTACCAAAATCTGTGATGTTAATAACTTTATTAATCAATGCTTTCAAATAAGTAGGTAGAGATCAACTTGCACCATCCTAACAGATCTTTAAAAGTCTGTTCATTTAAGATGCCACAAAGAATCAATGCCTTACCTAGCCAAGAAAACGTTTCTATATTTTCACATAATCAAATAAGTTTTCTGTTTTGTGTGTGTTTTATTTTCACTTACTTGTGTTAGTCACCCTGGGAACTCAAAAAATGCTTCAAACTATTCTTCGAAATCAAACACAGCATGAAAGGCTATCAAGGTAATCGAACATTTAATAAAACAACCTTACCTGAACACACCCAAACAAAGTACTTCATCTTTCCTTAACAACTACAACAGACCATACTGAGATACTTATGTTAAGTTAGAAACAATAATTTTTGATCCCATTTATTACGTAGATTGTAATTCCATAATTCTACTAAATCAACATGACAAAATTCAACCTCAATATAATAATGTAAAAATCTGCAATTTTTATAAACTTTGTGTACTTTGCATTAGTATTTACAAAGCACAACTATGTCGAACACACACACATTGATAGGAAAATGACATTAATTCAAACAAAAAGAATACCAAAACAAATTTTAAATTCGAAATAAAACAGAGAAGGATATCTATATATATATATAACTTTAAATTTTTATTCAATGAAATATTAAAATCAATTTAAAATGTCAATAATAATGCATAAATATATATGCTATGATGTTTAGCCTATTTCCGATAGTTTAGGAAAATATATATTCTTCACTCAACAGGCTATATGTATATATAACTGGAAAACCTTGAATTCTCAGTGAAACTCAAGAAACTGATAAAAAAAAATGTTATGAATCAGAAAGCAATAAATGAAATGTATTAACTCCCAACAGTCAACTATTTATACTTTTTCTTATGAACGAACTGTCCTTTTTTGTCAGTACATATTAAAAACATTGTCATTCTTGCTGTGGTTATGAAAATAACTTTACACAAAAACTAATGTGATTCACACTATCCAAATGAAAATATAAAATGAAACATCTACACGTATAAGAACTCCATGAATGCACAAGATAATGTACATCATATGCTTTTACTATAGTGATGAAACTGTCTATACTACTGAAGCTTTCTTAATTTTTTCATATTTATTTTAACCTTAATATTTACAAACAAAAACTGTACATATATTCTTCTTCTAAAAACAACAAAGTTCTGTAAAAATACTAATCCATCAGAAAGAAGAGTAGTTTCAGGTATTTCTCTCTTATTTAATATCATCTAATTAAACGAATCACCTTTTCTTTTACCCCGGCCAGAATATCAAGGAAGGGAACATAAAAATGCACAAATAACACGGAACTTATTATGGAATTTTCATAACCAAAAAACACATACTAAAATAAAAGTAAATGTCTTTAAAAACATTGTGGTTGATGCTGAGAGTTTATACTAAGAGCAAACACAAAACATGACATGTGGGTAAACTTTAAACATTATATAAATGTAAACAATATCTCATATCTATAAAGTCTGGATAAATTTAAAGAAAACATCTTCACGTGTGAAAATTATTTTTTTGCATTAAAATAACCACATCAGTAAGATGCTTTAAATGAATAAAAATAAACTAACGTTATAACAGTAAAGAAGTTCCACAGTCGTCTCTTTTCATAGAAGAAACTAAATTTGGATCGTTCAGAAATCGGAGAACCTTCACCTTACAGATAATACCAATGTTGCAACTATCTCTTGCTGATATTACAAAGTGTTAAATAAAAACCAAATGAAACAGTAAACACAGGTTCGGAAAATGGGTATCATTTATCATCTGTGACGACATAACTGCAAATCAGAATGATAACAAGTTTGCACTCACGAAACAATCATACAGGTGGATGACCTATTTCAAAAAAAGGCACAACATCAAGCTGAGCCACATTTCAAATGGATCCACAAACATTATACAAGTGGTTCTTTTCCCCAAGGAGCTTCTGCTTTCAAGTCATATTTCTAGAATCCACTTCTTATAAACCTTTTGAAACATTCCTCATAACTATATGTATGTATGTATGTATGTATGACTCTTACAATTTCTTTTGGATTCTTTGGTTATCTGTTCCATGCATACCTTTAGATAGCAGCACTGCAGTTAATTTCAACAAGTCATGCAGGTTTGATTAATGGACTAACCCTTCAATAATTTCTCTCTTCACCAATCAGCTGCTTTCTAGAATATTAATCACATGATGTATAGATTTGACACCAGTATTTCCCACCACACCCTGAAACAGTCACAAATATCAAAACAAAATTAATGCCTAATCTCAACTTCCTTGCACATTCTCTTTTATTTTGCACAAAAACACTGTAATTTAACAAGTCTTAATTACTATAATATTAGATTACATTGTTGAAATATTTTAATACATCAAACAAAAACATTTTATTTTAAAACCTTTTTACTGAAAATGTTGTTTCTTCAAGATCTTATTTAGAGATGTAATTTGGAAATATGTTACAATTCTTCTAAATAGTTTATAGAGCTCTACAACATAAGCTTTATTAGT